ATTGTCTATGAAACCTATGTTATTCTGTGGGCACTACTTAGACATCCAGCCATTGAGTGACGACAGTCTGCTGTGTATCTCATCATCACGGTAAGCAGGGAGGGGACCGGAGCATATTACAGTGTCGGACATCGTACTTGCAAGTTCACACACCTCTTTAATGTTATTTTTAGTGAGCTCCGACTGGCGAAGTCGAACATCATTAGCGCCGGCGTGAATAACAATCTTACGGTATGTACGTTTAGCATTAGCCAGCACTTTTAAATTTGCCAAGATGTCAGGCGCTCTGGCTCCCGGTAAACATTGGACTATGGTGGCTGGTGTCTCTATTTTCACGTTTCATACAATAGAATCCCCAATAACTAGAGCACTTTGATCAGGTTTCTCAGTGGGTGCATCACTGAGTGGGGAGAACCTGTTTAATGTTTTGATCGGAACGGAAGAGCAGTGTTTTGACCCGCGACTATGCCGCCTCACAGTCACCCAGTCGCCCTGCTGCGGAGGCTATGTAACCGGAACCGAACAATGTACAGGACTCCCTGAGCTAGTTGCATCCAAAGCCGTATCTAGAGCCCTCACATTCTTATTGTCCTCAATTAAAGTTTGGATGCGTGTCTCTAATTCTGAAATCTTCTCTGTCAGCCTAACTATTTCCCTGCATTTATCACATGTGAATCCCTCGTCGCTGACAGAGAGAGCTAAACTATACATGTGGCATGCGGTGCAGGTGACAATGCAAGGAGAAGCCATTACTCACCGTGACAGTAGAATAATTCCAACTCACCAAAGTTGTTGATGGACTTTGTCAGAACAAGAGAGAAAAGAAACAGAGCGAGAAAAGATTAAAGACGGATGATGTCAAATTAGTTTGGTGATAAAATCAGAAATATGGTGAGAATTAAATTATACTTTAGCGATTTATACAACAGAGAGTGATAGTAAGAGAGATTTCAACAGATAAACAAAGCTACACGGAGCTACAAACGCACTCAGCAGCACAGCAGACAGGAACAGGAAGCAATCTCCAACTGGAAGCCCTAATGCTAGTGCACTCTCTTCAATAAAGTTAAACGGTCTTATGTCCATGTGGAGGTTAAAATCACCCAAGATAAGAGTTCTCTCAAATTTGAGGCACAACAAACACAATATATTTGCTAAGCATTACCCAGAATCCCTCATAATTCTCACCTGATCTCACTCAGTTCTATACACCTGGATCCTATCACAGTCTCATCAATGTTCTATAAAAGACATATGCTGAATTTGGAACCACATACTACTCTTTCTGTTTCTGCCATAGAAGGATATGGGAGACATATTAAAATAAAATCTTTGGAACTTTAAATATGCATTATTGTAAAGGACTGAGAATGACATTGGAGATCCAAGTGCAAGCTTTTATTAAAACAAGTCGTACTCAAGACAGGCAGGGTCAAACACCAGCAAACAGTAGTATCCAAGCCATAACAAAGAGTAATCTGAAAAACAAGTAATGGTCAGGGCAGGCACCAAACAATCATTAAACAAGGAAACAGTCCAAGGTCAAAAACAAGACGAGGCAAGACAAAAAATAAGGCAGTGATATCAAGGATAAATGCTCAGTAATGTCCGCAAACAGCTAAACAAGACTTCGCAAAGAGTATGTATTGGAGTGCAGCTTAAATAGTCCACTGACAAGAAACATGGGTATATGCAATCAGTTCCTAGGCATGGTGTGTAATGGGAAATTAAGTCCGGGATACAGTGGCAAGGTCTGAGATGGAGTTCCCTCTAGAGGAGCTCATGGGCACTCCAGCTGGGGATCATGACAATTATCTAATTTCCAAACCTCTTTCAAAATCCTTAGGGCAGTGTTCTGAACCCATAGAGTCCAAACTCGATATGGATTTGAAGTATCACCCAGTTGTTCATGAATGAGTTGTGGGTTGTCATCCAGGGACAGTTTCCACTGAACATGCAGATTTCCTTATTATATATGTCTCTGTAGAATGTGTTCCTTGCAGTTTTTATGTAGAGAGTCAATGGTTGTTCACAACTAGGTTTCAGGTAGGACTATGGTGAACAAAAGGAAAATGGTGATGGGATTGGTCTTCACAAATTATATCTGGCAACTGCATTTTCAGGCTTATATTTCTTGCCCAAATGGTCCTTTGTGATACTTCTTTGGAGGTATGCCAACATGTAGCGCCGTTGCGCTTTGGGCGTCCCGTGTTCGAGTCCCTGCTCATGGACCTTTCCTGATCCTGTCCTCTCGGTTCCTGTCTAACTACTGTCCTATCAAATAAAAAGGCAAAAACGCCAAAAAATAAATCTAAAAAAAAAAAACGGTTACACTTTACTTGAAGGGGTGTGCATAAGACTGACACAATCATGACATGACACCTACATAATCATGACATGACACATGTCATGGATATGAAGGGTTTTTATGCATGTTTATGACAACTGTCATTAAGTGTCATTCGCTCAGTTATGTCATTTTTAATGCAAAGATGACATTGTTTGAGATGTCTTTGTTATGGGCTATGGTTAGGGGTAAGGGTAGGGGTAGGGTTAGGTTAGGGTTAGGTCAAATAATGTCATATTTGCATTAAAAATTACATAACTGAGCGAATGACACATAATGACAGTTGTCATAAACATGCATAAAACCTTCTTCATATTCATGACGTGTCATGTCATGATTATGAAGGTGTCATGTCAGTCTTATGCACACCCCTTCAAGTAAAGTGTTACCAAAAAAACTTTCTGTTCACCCTGCTGCCATCTGGGAAGCGCTTCCGTAGTCTGATGGCCAAAACTGAGAGACTTAGGAGAATCTACTTCCCTCAGGCCATCAGGCTCGTAAACTCAGCCTCTTAATATCTACAGGACTTCACCAACACACTCACCACAGCCGTTACATGACATTGTTGCTGCACACAGCACTTTCTGGTATCGTTGCTGCTATGTAACAACCTGCTCTGTTGTACTTCACTTCAAATTCTTCTCTGTACATACCTCAGCATATTCTTCACTTGTACATTCCTGTTTCTTTGAATATTTATTATATATCCTCATTTCTAAGATTATTGTGTAATCCCCTGTACTCTTAGGCTCTTTATTTTTTATACGGGGGAAGTCGTGGCCTAATGGTTAGAGTCGGACTCATAACCCAAAGGTTGCGGGTTTGAGTCTCGTACCGGCAGGGATTGTAGGTGGGGGGAGTGAATGTACAGCGCTCTCTCCCACCTTCAATACCACGACTGAGGTGCCCTTGAGCAAGGCACCGAACCCCCAACTGCTCCCCGGGCGCCGCAGCATAAATGGCTGCCCACTGCTCCGGGTGTGTGTTCACGGTGTGTGTGTGTTCACTGCTGTGTGTGTGCACTTTGGATGGGTTAAATGCAGAGCACTAATTCCGAGTATGGGTCACCATACTTGGCCACATGTCACTTCACTTCACTTTTTTTTTTGTACAGTCTTATTATCTTATCTCCATGTTTATTACTTTCTTTGTCTTATATTTTTCTAAATTTGCACAACCTATGGAGCGGACCTGATTTACATTTCACTACTGGTTATGTATTATATATATATATATATATATGTAACTGAGTATGTGACAAATAAAAATCTTGAATCTAATCTATTAACCAGCAGAAAGGCACAGTCACACAGGCATTCTTTGTTAACATTAGTTCAAAGTGACTACAACATTAAGCTTCGGTTTTTTTCCTGTTTTACTTTGAAAATCTTATAGTGACAGTAATGTTTTAATTTTTGTCAATAGTTATGAAAATGAAAAGTCAATACCATTAATATAAAATATGAGAAAAACATCCTCCTGTATGGTCATCGTGAAAGTGCTTGACTAAACGTTCCTCAGGAGCTTTTAGTTCAAAAGTGTGTGCATTTAGAGAAATATTGAGTGAGTGAAGTGACGTGTGGCCAAGTATGGTGAACCATACTCGGAATTTGTGCTCTGCATTTACCCCTTCCAAATGCACTCACACAGTAGTGAGCACACACCCAGAGCAGTGGGCAGTCAATGCTGCAGCGCCCAGGGAGCAGTTGGGGGTTCGGTGCCTTGCTCAAGGGTCTCACCTCAGTCATGGTATTGAAGCTGGTTATTCACTCCCCCCACCGACAATTCCTGAGACTCAAACCCGCGACCTTCGGGTTACAAGTCCAACTCTTTATCAATTAGGCCACGACTGCCCCAATGGATTTATGGATTATCATATGTTTATATAAATTCCTATAGAAATTATTAGTATTTATTTCATTTTTACCTAAAATGAGACAACAACAATCTCATAATGCCCATTTCATTCATAATGGAGTCCTGAGGGCACCCTCACAGAGAAAGTGCACAAGTGAGATTCATAGAGTCATTAATCTTATGATGTTCCTGGAAATTCCTTATATTCACAAAGGCATCCAGAGATTTCTGCAGCTGAAAAACATGCAAAGAGAGTCATTTTGACTGATGAAATCAGTGTTTTTTGAGCCATCAATTTTTAGGTTTAGTTGTTGGGGGGTGGCTAACTGGTTAGTTATAAATAAACCTTAAACCTACTAAATTATTAAATACTTTACTCAGTACTACCAAGTTTACATCTTTCAAGCATTCACTTTGTAATTTCTGAATAAAGATATTTAGTGTTTTTACAGACTCTGATCTTGATCTGTTTCGCTTTTCAGGCAGGTCTTGTGACAGAGTCTGAGCCTGAGCGGCTCATCTTTGCCTTGGAGCCCGAGGCTGCATCGGTTTACTGTATGCAACTACCAAAGGATGGCTTCATAGCTGAGGATTTCAGTACAGATAGACTGAAACAGAGTCCTGGAACCCAGTACATGGTTGTGGATTGTGGAGGTACAGTCTTAACTTTTAGAAATTTCTGTATCTTTTTTCTCTTCTCTTTCACAGTTCAGAATGATACATTCGTGTAAATGATATGTATGTAGCTTCTCCAAACTTACTTATCAAAGAGCTTTGTAATAGGATTTGCTAGGTTTTGAAGAGGGTGTTATTTTCAGAGAAATTGGGAATAAAAATCACTTGCCTTTTGTGTTGTCTTGTAGGGTACCAGGGTTAATATATTTTCCCACAACTTCCTTGCACTTACTTCCATTCTCACAAACAAGACATAGAACAATATTCCACTGAATCATTTGGAGGGCATCTGTCAACTTTGATCAAGTAATTACTTGTTTTTTCACCTTAAAATGACAAAAAAAAGAGGAGAACCAGAGAAAAGAATTTAACATAAACACTGATGACCCAAAATATTTTGACCACCTGCCAAAAATGCTGTTGGTCCTCTGCGCGCTGACAAAACAGTGCCTTCTCACACAAGCATGGACTTTACAATACCCCTGAAGGTGTCTTGTGATATTGGGCCCCAAGACATTAACAGCAGATCCTTCAAGTCATGTAGGTTGCGAGCAGTAGCCACCATGGATTGAAGTTGCTGGTCCAGCACATCCCATGAATGCTCAATTGTATTGAGATCTGGAGAATTTGGAGGCCAGGGCAACACCTTGAACTATTCATCATGTTCCTCAAAACTTTCCTTCACAATGTTTGCAGTGTGGCAGGGTGTATTATCTTCCTATAAGAAGCCACTTCCACCAGGCAACATCATTGTCATGAAGGGGTGTACTTGGACTGAAACAATGTTTAGGTAGGTGGAACATGTCAAATTTACATCCACATGAATGGCCAGACCCAGTTTCCCAAAGCATTACACTCTCTCCACCAGCTTGTCATCATCCCACAGCGCATCCTGATGCCATCACTTCCCCAGGAAAATGGTGTACATGTACACAGCCATCCACATAGACATTGTCCTAAGCACAACAGAGTGTGACGCTTTGTGTTGTGACACATTTCTCCCATAACCATCATTACATTTTTGTGACTTGTGCCACAGTAGACTTTCTATTATCTTGGATCAGGCAAAATAGTCTTCACTGCCCTTGTGCATCTATGAGCCTTGGGTGCCCAACACACCGTTGCTTGTGGTACGCTCCTTCTCAGACCACTTTTGGTAAATTCAAGCCTTACCTTTTCAGAGCATCGCCATAACAATTTGGTCCTTGTCAAAGTTGCTCAGATCTTTATTACTGCCCATTCCTCCTGCATCCAACAAAATAATTACAAGAACTGATTGTTTGCTTACAACTGAATTTACCCCAGACCTTGATATGCGGCCTTATTAGGAGATGATCAACAATGTTATCTTTACCTGTGACTAATCATAATGTCTTGGCTCATCACTGTATCATCACTCAATAGTATTTGCCAATCTTTTTCTAATTGCATTTTTTATTTCTTAACTATGAGGTGAATCCATTGACAGATTGTCTATCTTCTGCTTGTGAGAAAACTGTATTACTCATTGTCAAGGGCATCATCAAGCCACTTTTTTTGTGGTATTCCTCCTGAAATCATCATACCATTCTTAGTTATTGTCAGCCCTGTTCAGTAGACCTTTGAGTATAGTGGAGGCTACCATTAATGTACCTGCTCTGCCCAGCTGCCATGCCAATTGCACCTACGATAAACAATCCAACAGTTACCACTTCCTCATTCCTCATTGCGCAGTGGCCACCCAGGCATCCGACAAACACTCTTTCTCCTGTGTCCACACTTGGATAAGTACATTGAAAGGTTCATCCAAGGATGTCAGGAATGTGCCATATCCAAGACACCATGCCAGCTCCCATCAGGTAAATATCTCTTTCTACCCCTTATGCACTGTCCATGGTCAGACCTGAGAGTTAACTTTACAGCAGACCCACTATCCTCAGAAAGTTTGACCTGCATCCTTGTTGTCGTAGATCAGTTGTCCAAATAGTGTAGACTGATTCCTCTCAAATGTCTTCCAACAGCAGTGAAAACTGCTCTTCTGACATGTGTTCCACAACTGTGGTCCTCTTGAGGACATATTTGACATAGGACCATAGTTCATCTCTAGAGTCTGGTTGAGCATTCTTCTCCCTCCTGGGGGTGACCATGAGCTTCTCTTCAGGCAAATAGAGAGAAAGATCCATGAGATAAATTGTTTCTTGAGGACTTTCTGACATGGCCACATGCATAGCTGGAACCATTTCCTCCCCTGGACTAAGTATGCCCAAAACTTCCTTTGCCAACCTTCCAGAGGGAGAGGTTTCAGCTGTCAACCACTGGTTCTGGGCGAGTGTGAGGGTCGGAAACAAAGCTCATCATCACCTGAAATGGGCCATTTGCTGCCATAAGAGCCACGTAGCTTTTCAGCCCAGGCAGGAGATGTGGTTTTCTACCAGGAACATCAGGCTGTGACTTCCATGTAAAAAGCTAAGTTCCAGATTCATTGATGGTGATTGGCCCAGTGACATATAAGCTCCAACTCCCTGCACATTACTGGATTTACCTCACCTTCCATGAGTCACTCTTAAAGCCTCACAAATGAGGCACAAGGGGATCATCAGCTGGACCAGGCTCTAAGACACCCATGCAGGTTCTCCCTCCACACAAACACAAAGATCCAACTTCATCTGAATTCTAATCACTTGCACGTGACACTCATCATCACTGCGATCAAGGACTGTTTAAAAACCCTTACTTTCAGTCACTTGGCATCTGACCTCTCCAATGACTCTATTCCTGTGGTCTACTTACAAGATGGTAATTACAAGTTTGATCCATGATTACATGATTGCTCCATGATTACCTGATTCCATTATGCCTGTCAAAATCTGGATCATACAGAGCACAGTCAGTATAGAGAAAAGAACAAAAGACCAAAGGCTCACCACCTTATTTATAAGCTTGCTTGACCTCAGTAAGGAACAGTATACAGGAATAAGCAGCACTGCATTGTGGTCAGAGTATGCTAATGGTCGTTTATATTTTGCAGTATGTGCATTTAATATATTCCTGGTCTAACACCCCACACCCTCTCTGACCATCTCTCTACACAATCGTTAACATCTCCAGCAACCCCCCTCTCCCCCCTCCTGCACTTCAGATCAGTGAAGATGATGATGTGTGTCAGGTCTTCAGAAAGCAGAAGAGATGGAAAGCACCAGGCCCAGACAGTGTCAGACCAGCCTGTCTGAAATCCTGTGCTGACCAGCTGGCCCCTATCTTTTCACAGATCTTCAACAGATCACTGGAGCTGTGCGAAGTCCCGGCCTGCTTCAAATGCTCCACCATCATCCCCGTCCCAAAGATACCCAAGATAACAGGACTTAATGACTACAGACCCGTTGCTTTAACATCTGTGGTCATGAAGATATTTGAGAGGCTGGTGTTGACTTATCTATAGGACATCACTGGACCCTTGTTGGACCCCCTGCAGTTTGCTTACCAAGACTGTGTTATATGCTACAACATCTGGACTTATGTGAGGATCCTGTTCGTGGACTTCAGTTCAGCCTTCAACACCATCATCCCAACACTCCTCCAGACCAAACTAACCTAGCTCTATCTGTCAGTGAATCACCAGCTTTCTGACAGTTAGGCAACAGTTAGTAAGACAGGGGGAATTGATTAATTCACCAGTACTGGTGCCCCTCAGGGTTGTGTTCTCTCTCCACTGCTCTTCTCCCTGTACACCAACGACTGCACATCTAAAGACCCCTCTGTCAAGCTCCTGAAGTTCGCGGACGACACTACAGTCATCGGCCTCATTCAGGACAGAGATGAGCCTGCTTACAGACAGGAGGTTAAAGAGCTGGCTGTCTGGTGCAGTCCTAACAACCTGGAGCTCAAGATGCTCAAAACAGTGGAGATGATCGTGGACTTCTGGAAAACTCCCCTGCCCTCCCCCCACTCACCATCATAGATAGCACTGTGGCTGCAGTGGAGTCATTCAGATTCCTGGGAACCACCACCTCTCAGGACCTGACGTGGGACACTTACATTTATTCCATTGTTAAAAAGGTTTTTGTTTGTTACTTCCTTCGCCAACTGAGGAAGTTCAACCTGCCACAGGAGCTGCTCACACTGTTCTACTCGGCCATCATTGAGTCTGTCATGTGCACTTCAATAAATGTCTGGTTTGGCTCAGCTACAAAATCGGACATCAGAAGACTACAGAGGACGGTTCGGACTGCTGAAAGGATTATTGGTGCTCCCCTGCCCACCACCCTTCAAGAACCGTATACATCCAGAGTGAGGAAAAGGGCTCAGAAAATCACTTTGGATCCCTCACATCCAAGCCATCTTCTTTTTGAACTTTTGCCATCTGGCCGGCGGTACAGAGCACTGAATACCAGGACAGCCAGGTACAAGAACAGTTTCTTCCCCCAGGCAATCTATCTCTTGAACAGTTAAATGTTCTCCCCACTGTGCAATAAAAATATGTGTAATAACCTTATATTTATTTGTTACACCCTACATCCTAGTCCCTCCCTATATCTTATTCTATTCTATTCCTATTTTTTAATCTATAGCACACCTGCACATACAATTTATTAATATTTTTTTATTAATTTATATATATATATATATATATATATATATATATTACACAACTTATTTTTTTTTATCTGTGGGTTTTTGTTGTTGTCTCTGTGTATTGGAAGCTTATGACACAAATACAAATTCCTTGTATGTGCAAACATACTTGGCAATAAAGCACTTTCTGACTTCTGATATAAGCTAATGCGTTTCAGTCTATCTCACTTAAAATTCCAATTTTACACTTGTTTTGTCTGAGAACAGATACATTTTCCAGAATTTTAAGAAAAACGCCTTCAAAAAAAGTGGTTATCTACTGTTAACTCAAACAAAAAAAGTTTGTTTTTTTTTCTTTAGAAAGTTATGCTTGGACATTTTAGACTTCCAAATAAAATTTTGTCTACATCTAACATTCCCTTAGCAAG